TGTTTTGCGGTACTGTCTTTAGCTGTGGTAAGTCAGCTGATTTATTTGTCGGATGGAGTGTGTTACTTTGATAAGTTTGAGCTGTATTTAGTGGAACGTTATTACGTTTGCCCATAACAAAGAGAAAACCACTTAGATAACGATACCAGATCCTTTCTTGACGGAAGAACCGATCTTCCCACGCAAATGCAAGACCAAGGCCAGATCTCGTGTAGAGAGCTTTAATCACGTAAGCCACGTGCAAGTGAGTTGTCATATGTGTACACTAATTCAGGTCAAGGTTGACCCGGACCTGGTAAAAAGGGTAATAATACAGGTGTCAGGGAGTAAATATGAGTAATGACATAAATATCGGCGGTGAGCGAACATGGAGAATTTAGGATCCCTGACATTTGTTGTCACAAGCCTGTCCAGCGTTAGGGTGCCTCGGATACATCACTTTTCGCGTCGGGTGACAAACGTTACATGATGTTGCACGCATGTTTAATTCAGGACTGCTAATTGCAGAAAACTGACATGAGGCTGACTGCAATAAGTAGTCAGTGGTGTTCTTGTCTTATTTCCAAAAGCGTCATGTCGATGTGGTCAAAAATGTGGCGGGTTTCCTTGTTCACGAAAATCGAGCGACTGCACTCAGCTATAAATTTGTGGTTTCATTTAAAATCCTCGCTTAGTAGTAAAAGGACCTTGCACATGTTAACGTTGCAATCGCTCAGGCATAAGAGGTTCGAAACATTCTGGAGAGGTCAAACGCGAGCAACACGATTCCAAACTGGGATAATTGCCAGGCCTTTTGTTGGTGTTCGTTGCTGAAAATCACTGAACACTGCAGTACACTAGAGAGCAAAGTTCTAGATGGGTATGCAGCATATCGGTCGTACAAACTTCCAAATATTCGGCAAAAGTGCGACCAACATTTGACATGTGGCTTTTAGTATCGCCTGAGAGGCGTCGTGAACCAATGGATCATCTTATTATTGGTACATGAGATAACTTAATTTTTTTAACTTACCCTAGGTGGTTTATTTGATTTTAGTGGTCTTCTTGGAGTGTTAACCTACTAAGTAGGCAAAAATAAAGCGTACATATGTGGATTCAAGTCTCCTGGAAATACAGACCGACTGCATGAAGATAGCATTAATCAAGAATGCGTAATCTAAAAGCTTTATTATGCTTAAGAGATCCTACATTGCATTACTAAGCATCGCTTCACCAACGAATTCCGATTAATAGTTAACTTTAAATTTTGGCGGTCACAGTATTTGGGCTTATTGACATGTCCCATAAATCCCATATACATCGTTAAGTGCTTTGCGTTTAATATTGTAAATACTTATGCATTCAACGACTAAATTGTGTTATTTTTATATCCACATTATCCTTTGAAAAGCGCTATATTTCTGGATTATTTTGAGTCGAAATGGGGGCATATTTTATTCAAATTTGATAATTTTGAAGTGGGTTCAGGCTGCGAAACCAATTTCCTTAGCTACAGTTGTTAATTGAAAAACTGATTAATTTTTTAAACAATTATTTACAGATCTTGACCATTGTCAGTGTAGTTTCAATGAAATTGAACTTATCGAAATAGACCAGATACGTGCTTAAGCGAGGATATGTATAAATATTTCAATTGGACAATGTCTGATATGAAATGTCAATAATATAATTGCAAAATGATAAGCTGGGCCATTTCTTCACTATTTTTTTAAACAAAACCTTTTGAATTTCTCGAATGTGTACTAGTCCAAGGTCAGAGGTCGATAGATTTTATTGGTAATTTAACAAAGTGGTAAATGTGAGCACTTACTGGCCTTATTGCTTAGGACCGCCAACGGTGGCGGTTTCTGTTTTATAATTGTAGTTTGATAAAGCTTATAACAAATTTAAGTCAAATGCCACGTGTTTCTGCATTTTGCTTTTTCGATTTAGTATTTCTCATGAGATGGTTTTAAAATTATTAAAAATTGTGCTCAGCTAGGTGGAAACGACCTTCGAGTCGTCTGTTTAATGTCTTTGAAAGCGGTATTTGTTAAATTTTTGAAGTCTCGCATTAATTTACAAAAATTAAACAAGAAACACAAATCAACGACTTCTCAATTCTAGTGTGTGGTCTTTAGAATGTTGTATCCCTCTAAGTTTATATTCTATTGTTATTAGCAGCATAAAGTCACCGTTTTATGCGTTTTGAACTGTTCCATAGTTGCATATATCTATCTACCGCACCCATACTTCTGTCGACATACTTTTGTTTATGTCCACATATCGTACTCTAAACAACAGCAGAAGTCCTTCAACAGTAATCCGTTACATGCGTTTCTCTACATGTTGGTTATCTTAACTTATGCTTACCCAAACTAGATACATATCCATTTTATGCTACTTTACCTGATGTATATCAGGGAGGGAATGGTCCACCTAGAGAACCATTCTGTCGCAAATGACGTTGCGGTTCCCAGTACACTTGCGTTTTGAGGATTACATTTGTGAGTCTTGCTAATAGGAATGGATTAAAAGAACTTGAAATGAGCGTGACCACTCACTATTTGCTATGCGTTACTGTCGAAAGCCTTACTTCGAGGTGTAGATTTGAAGAACGTGAAGTGAAAGTAATTGCTCACTGCTTGCTATGCGTTACGAACATAAGTGCTAGATCGAAGCATAGGAATTCGGCGCTCTACAACCGGGAATTTCACAAATTTTCACGCTTTGAAGAAAGGCAACCAATGTGTAATGATGGCGTGCCTATTACATTATCTACCCCGTCGAATTTAAGTGGCACAATCACCGAGTTTGTTGATTCCGCCTACGCCTCAATAGATATTTGCCTGCTAATAGGGACAACAATGCTCTAAAGATGATGATAGGATGTCAGAATCCATGGTGTGCCATCAATGGTGATTGTGGCACGCCAATTAATTCACCACATCAAGAGTTGCAACTTCGTACTTTTTAATTGAGGATTTTGTGCCCATGCAGTCGTGTCAGGTGCTGCTACTCCTAGGCCCACTCATCAGTTTATCAAAGTCCGTAATGTTGGTGATTACTTTGCGTTCTAGTTTACTGCTTGACATCTGAGGAAAAGTAAGCAAGTTGGTTTCCCCAAATCTCGCCGAAACCTTCATGGAGTTTTTGAGGCGTACAGTTGTGATTCCTGTCTACGAGGTCACAACTCATCATCCAGTCGCCAATGATACTTGTTTTTCTTCAAAACATTAGGGTGTGGTTTGAAAGCTTGGGCCATGTTAAATTTGTCGATTGGCAAGGCCAATACGAATATCATGTAGAAAAGTGTAGTGGCGTTGTTGATTGCCAGAGAAATTTGATGTGGGTTTTTGTAACCATCCAGCGTAGACGCAATTCACATTGAGAATTGCATCTATGGTGCCATCCGGATGTCCGTGAGAGAACCATTAAAGTACTGACAGTCAAGCTGGCACACAATGGTGTTAATGCGAGCGAATCACGGGCTCGGTGGTTTTGGAGCCGTGCTCCAACTAACTTACTTGTTTACAGATAGTGGCACTAGAAGATTCAGTACAGGGTAGTCTTTGCTGACCATCGCCGGCCGCTGTGTAGCGCTGACAGGTATGTCTATTTGGGCTGAGCAGTCGGTGTTCACGTGCTCTTCTTGGTGGAGTCATTCTGAGTAACGCCTCAGCGTTTTGCACCAGACTTTACTATTTGATGTTCATGTATTTTGAGAGACCTTGTAACATTACTTACAAGAAGTGTGGTTGGCCTGTTTTGCCCAGATCTTGAAAACATGAGTACTGCAACTCATTTGCTCGTGTTATATTAGAACGCAGACATTACTTTACTCAATGCTCACGTCATCTCATAGGGACGATGTGGTGGGTTCAGATCTTGGTGTATATGATGTGGATCAAACTTTCGCGAATGCTTCTTGCTCAGGGCGTTGTGTGGTATGCGTGGAAGAAAATAATTTTCCATAGGATGCATGTGCATCCACTTTAGATTAGGGTTTGTGTGAGCATGTTGAATCATTGATTTGTTAACAGCAGTTTTCGTTCAACACGGTCGATAAAATGTGCAGGGTCCCACTTGTGCTCCTACTACGTTCTGAATCTTCTTTCGCTCTATGGTGTAACAGGGTATCTGAAGAAAATTATCCAATTATCGCGTAGATTGGTGTTTGCCGCCAAGCCCGTGGTCAGTGGGCATGAGGCGCCCGGACAATCACCCAAAACCAATTATTGGCATCTTTGTTAACTTTATTCTCTTAGAAATGTAGAGCAGGTTTAACTGATTTCGTGAACGTATTATCACTTATATACACCAAGCCGGTGCCATTTTAATGGCGGACAGTGGTTTCGTTGTGGGAGGTACAGACTCGGGCATTTTCTAGATGCCCCTACCTACTATAAGTTGCTAGTTGCTAACGTGACAATTGTGAGCCACCACGGAAGTGATGCTGAAACCTAGAAAAGTTGTCCCTCTAAATGCTGCCCGGCTTCAAATTTGATGGTAAATAGGAAGCCTTTACAAGCTGGTGCTGCAGGAATGAGGCTGACAGGGATTCATAAACAGCTTGTTTTCAGGTTTGTGTATTAATCTTGTCAGTGCTGGGTAAAGGGGTGATCTCACGGCATGGCCTCTCTAGTGAACAGTAATAAAGTCAGGTTTTCAAGTCATTTCTGTTTCTTTAGGCCTGCGCACCATCATGTCAGAGGAGGATGGACAAGATAGAACGACGTGGATCTCTCCGGTGACAGTCAGTGATGACTCGAAGACCACAAAAAGAGTGCCTTCTCGACCGGGACGTGGTGAAGTGTTTGCCCGTATAATAGGTGTGAGAAAAGCAGTCACCAATTACGAAACCTACATTGGCTATGAAATTGAAACTGTGGTAAGAAAGCTATGTGTTGAATCAATTGAATCTGAGTGGGGATAGTTTAAATGGCACCAATTCTTTTGTCCCAGTATTTCATTCTGAGCTAGGAAGTCTCGTTGATTTGGCGATGCGTGTTTCGGGTGCGAACCCAGTCGTCCTCATGTGTTAGTTAACTTCGGGCTCATGACAGATTTAAAGCACTCATCTTGAGGCATTACTGACGTTAGCTACGACCTTAGTTACCTAAACATACTGGAATGCTTTCATACCTTCATTAACTCCATGAAAACTAACTTCGGTCAGCGGGATGGTTTGATAGCATTAGACATTTGATGTTGCGCTAACTATGTGATCTAGAGACAGTCCGCGATGTGCATTAATTACTTTGACTT